GGAGGGAGGAAGGGTGGGAGGAAGGAAGGAGGGAGGGAGGGAGGGAGGGAGGGAGGGAGGAAGGGAGGGAGGGAGTGGAAAGAAGAGAAAAGAAGAGGGAAGAAGAGGTGAGAGGGAATTTCATCCAAGTAGAGGAAATATCAGTAAAATGGAGGAAGGGGATTGAGGAGGAAGAAGAAAGGACTGGAAAGGGGAGTAATGGAAAGAATCTGAGCGAACTTCCATATGTGCTGTGTGAATGTGGCCGGGGGCCCAGCATCAGGCACATCCACAGGACAATAATTTTTTAAAATGTAAGGTCAACAGTAAAGGGATTGAAGAGGATCTGTGGAGAGGAGGCAGGGAGCTGGGGAGAGRGGAAGTGCTGGGGCTCAACTGGAGCAGGCTGGTTCCACACTTTTCTGATTATGTCAAGGTACATCCTGGTATTGTGTCCTAACTAAAAACAATCTTTTTAAAAGAACACTAAATTATATACTTTTGAGAATCAGAGTTGCTAGAAAGTTAAAGTTTTTGGAGCAGTCTTATGTTTTATAAAATTTGCTATCAGAAAAAAAATCAAGATATTTCTAGATTTAAATGGGACCCCTGTAAAATCATGAGAGTACATTATTTTGTTACTTGTTCGAATATCTGGAAAATTAAAAAGCTCCTTCTATAGGAATACCACCAGTTTTCCTCATTAAAATTTAGCATAGTTGTCTCTGAAGCAATGTTAGAGCAAAGGGCACCCAGACAATTAAATAGCTAGGAAATAATTTATTTGAGTTTCATTTTTGGCTTATTGAGTGACCTTTAAATAATCACCAATTTGCTCTGATGCATTCAAAGCAATTCTTTTCTTTTTATTTTGTTTTAGTTGTAGATGGACACAATATCTATTTATTTTTATGTGATGCTCAGGATCAAACCCAGGTCCTCACATGTGCAAGGCAGGTGCTGTACCACTGAGCTACCGCTACAGCCTAATGCAAAGCAATTTTAATCAAGAAATATCTATTTTTTAATCCTGTGTCTAATATAGACACTCAAAAAAACATCATTATCACGGCCCCTGGATGTGCAGAATCGACAACTGAAGTTCCCTGGGCAAGAGCACATAAGCGAGTGGGAACCACGTCGAGTGCAGCAGGCCACACCCTGACTTCCACCAAGACACTCCCCAGGGACCCGACAGGAACACGTGAGGTAGAAGCCTTGTGCACCATTCTGCAGGGCTGAGCGCTCCCCACACATGCCACCTGAAGGGGCTGCCCACAGTGGCCAGCACTTGCCAGCCCCCTCTCCACCACCACACCATCCTGCTTCACTACAATACCTCTGGCTCCAAGCAACAGCTCTGGAACAGACATGAATCGCCCACCTCCTAAGGTGCCTTGCAGAATCTAGATTTCTCCCCAGTTCCAGAGCCACTTGAGCCTTTGGGCTTCTGGTTCAGTCACTGCAAAGGCTTTTCAGAACCATCTTATTGGTAAGAAGTAACAGAAATTGTTTGTCTATCCATGTTTCAGTTGCTAAGAAGAAAAAYTATATTGTGAGTCAGAGTTCTGGAAATGAAGAGAAAAAGCAACTCTCCTGTTTTCCTCCTAGAAATACAACTAGGGCAAAATAGCTACTATTTTCATTGTAAAAAACAAATATTTTTGCTATAAAAATTAACAAAAGGGCTGGGTTTATGGCTCAGAGGTAGAGCACTCACCTACCATGTGTGAAGCCCCAGGTTCAATCCTCAGCACCACATATAAATAAATAAATATTTTTTTTAAAAAATCCACACTAACAATAACCAGTTTTGTACACATAATGTTTCCAATTTTTCCTATGCAACTCTTTAGGAATATAATCTAAAATCTTTAATGGAAACAAGCCATTATTTGTTTTATAATTTTAAAAAATTGGTCTTTTGTACCCCCAACCGGCCTCACCTGCCGTGTGCACGCTCAGACTCTCACACAAACTGCGGATGCCACGGTTTGACACAGAACCTAGCTCACAGCAGCTGTGGGAAGTCTATAGGGTGTGAGCTGCTGCTCCTGGGGCACGGGCCTAGCACCCCGAGGGAGGACCGTGCTGCCCAGGTTGCCGAGGCAGAGACAGACTCCTGGCGTGCCACTTGTGCACCCGTGTGCAGCTGAAAACCCAGGCCTCTCCCACCTGAGTCACTGAGTCACTCGGTTCCAGTGAGCCACACACACTGCTCACAGCCACCGTGGAAACGGTCCCATTCTCGGTGTCCACAGGACGTCAAGGGAAGCTGGCSTCTAACTAGCCCTGATGGGAAAGGAGACGCGCTCTGGGAAAGCAGCTCCAGCCCCTCCCCCGGGGAAGAGGCTCCTGTCCTGAGGTCCCAGCAGGCCCTGGCCACAGGACACACAGAGCCCTTCCACTGGCTCTCCTCAGGGCATGTGTGCCCCTGTCATGTCCCTCACCCACTTAAGCCCCCACACAGTGGACTGGGCTTAAAACTACCCAAATAAATTTATTACAGAAATACAGAGGGAAACACATGGCACGAGCAGGTGGGCGGGAAACACAGCCGACTCTGTGAAAGCATATGGTTCTGAAACCCAGCACCACTGGCTGAGCCAGGAGCACACCCGGAGCTGCGCGGGCCTGCCCCTCCCACCGCAACACAGCAGTCTCTTCACAAGTGCCTGCCGGCCCCTGGCCAAGGCTGAGGAGCGCTGCATCTCACTTCCCCACAGAACAGGGCCAAAGCCACAGGAGGGGAGGGACGGCTGGCTCAGCCTGCAAAGCAGGAGCACCCTGCAGAGAGAGAGAGACACTGGCCCAAAGAACCCAAGAGCAGTGCGGAGCTTCACACTGGGCGGAACAGTTTCTGTGGTCAGATGCATTTGCTGCAGCACACGCTGGATCCCCTTCTGACGTGACACCACCAGGAAGCGCAGGGGGTTGCAGAAGTTTAAGAACACACCAATAAACACGGATGAAGCAAGATGCAGAATATAAAAATCTGAAAACCTTATAATCCGATTTAAAAATGGGCAAATGCTCTAAAGATCCTTCTTAAAAAAATACAAATAACCAACAAAAAGAAAGATTAAAAGATCTATGAAAGATTCTCATTATTGGGCTGRGGATGTGGCTCAAGCGGTAGCGCGCTCGCCTGGCATGCGTGTGGCCCGGGTTCGATTCTCAGCACCACATACCAACAAAGATGTTGTGTCCGCCGAGAACTAAAAAATAAATATTAAAATTCTCTCTCTCTCTTTCTCTTTTTCCCTCTCTCACTCTCTCTTTAAAAAAAAAAGATTCTCATTATTATTAGCCATTAGTGAAATACAACTCAAAATTAAAACTATCATCATATACTATCCCATTCCAATGAGAACACTGTTATCAAAACATAAACTAACAAGGTCAATGAAGACATGACGCAAAGGGCCCTCAGCACTGGGGGGCGGGCAGGTGGGGCCTCCAGACTGAGACTGGACTGGCACGCAGCGCAGCAGCCCAGAAGGCACCTGGCTCACAAGAAAGATGCCCGCATGCCCAGGGACATGGGGCCACTGCTGCCAGGAGCCAGGATATGGAACCAGCCCAAGTGCCCATTGACCAATTGATGGAAAAAGAAAATGCGGCATATATACAGAATGGAGTATCATTCAGCCATAAAGAAGAAGAGATCCTGTCATTTGCAGGAAAATGGATGGAACTGGAGGTGAAATGAAGTGAAATGATCCAGAGGCACAAATCCAAATACTGCCTATTCTGACACATAGAAGTTTAAAGAAAAGTTGACCTAAATGTATAAAAATGTTGCCGGCATTTGGAAAGAAGCAGGTGAGGAGGGTGGATAATGGAGGCTGGATTTGATCATGTGTTTAAATCCCACACTAACCCTCACCAAAATGTGCAGCTAACACATGCTAGTAAGCAATCAGTGTTCTGAAGCATTTCTGTAAACATGATTGCCCAAATGCAAATACAACGCAAATTAAAACGATGTTCAGTTTGATAGCCCATACCCTCTTCCCGTCATGGCCCAGCCCTGCAAAGAGCCTAGGAGGACCCAGCTCTTCTTTCTGCACACCCGATCGTGAGTCAGAGTAAGGGTCAGGGCTTGGCCCTGCTGGGCAGAAGGGACTTCCAAATCAAGCAGCCACTGGAAACAGCAGTGGCTCTTCAGCTGCTAGTTTCATCCACTCCGATCTTGGATGCTCATCAGGATTAATCATCAGCCGCAGCTCTCTTCTAAAACTAAATTTTAACAAAGCATAAAATATTCAAAACTGTCAAGGTGGAAGGAGAGCAGTGTGTCTGAAAATTAATACCAAAAGAATCTGACTAAAAGGACACCTACAGATAGTGCAGTAGAGACCCATGTTTGCATACGTACTAACACACGCACACAAGGTCTTTGTCATGGTTCAAGTGTGAGGCGAGGCGTCCTGCTAACGCGGGCGTGTCCAGAGGTGGAATGATTGACAGTGAGAGCTGACACCTGAATGGACTCGTGGGAATGGACTGACTGGGGGTGACTGGGGCAGGGGGAGTGTGGCAGGAGGAGTGGGCTGTGGGGTGTGCCCTGAAGAGCTGCCCTTCCTGCTGCCCCTTCCTGCCTCTCCTCTCTCCCTCATGACCATGCCATGAGCTGAGCAGCCGACTTCCACTGGGCCCTTGCCCCTGATATCCTGCCTCACCTTAGGACCACAACAATGGACTTGGCCATCTGTGAAACCCTACACCCCAATAAACTTTTCCTCCTCTTAGTTGTTTTTATCAGGTACTTGGTCAGAGATGGAAAAGCTGAAAAAAAAAAACAGTCTTATACCTGTTTGAGAAAAATCAGATAGAGCATTTAAACATCTAAGTTATTTAAATTTACTTGGAAGGCATTCACTAACTTTCATACCGTTTGCAATTGATCTTGCATTTTGAAGATCTTTTACCATCTTTCTTGATGTTAGTCTTTGGTGAAAACATAGTGACACTGTGGAAAGAAAATGCTTACAGGTCACTTTCAGAAATTAAATTTCTTACGAGATCTACATATTACAGGAGAAGGAATATGTACACACCTGCATGAATAGTTTCAGCTGCCTCCTGCTCCTCCTTCCTCCATCTGTCCCTCTATCCCACACCTCAGAGATGTCACCTTGCTGCACATCTCCAAAACTTTCTAATATCCTGCAATGCTACCCTGAACTTCTCCTGTTAGGTTTCAAATTGCAGCAAGGCACTGAGGACACCATGACCTGGGACCTGCCTCTTTCCCCTGGGCTCCAGCACATAGCCCCACATCTACAGCAGGCCTCAAAACAGTGGCCCAAGGAGTCCACATGCAATGTCACAGATGCCACAGGCACTGAGGCACCCACAGGTTAGGGACATGGACTGATGCATAATTTTGCTGAGACACAAATCTAGAATCCATCTAACCATCCATCCAACCATTTACTCTTCCCTCCATGCGTCCATCTCTCCATTCATCAACCCCTCTATCCAATCATCTCTACATCCATCTTCCATTTTTCCATCCATCCATTCATATCTCCATCTATCCACAATCCCTTCCTATCCATCCCTCCACCTATCAGTCATCCCTTTCTCCAACCTCATTCATCTCTCTACCCATCCATCCACATCTCCACCCATCTACCATACATTTCTCCACCTACCCACCCATTGATCCACATGTCCAGCCATCTGTAATCCTCTCTCTAACCCTCCACCCATCCATTTATCATCCTTCTCTCCATCTACCCACATTTCTATCTAGCCTTCTCTCCATCCCTCTCCATATCTTCACCCATCCATTTCTCTACCCAGATCCCCGTGTCTCCATCTTTACCTCCATCCATCCACCACTCACCCATTTACAAGTGTCATATAAGAGAAGCTAAGGTGCCAAGGTCACCCCAGGCATAGGGGTCTGCGGATCAGACACTAAGTGAAACAATTGTGCTTGCTACTGCTGAGGCCAAAGAGAAAGAGTGATGCAGGAAAGGGCCATGGGAGTGGAAGAGACTGAGACCAGAGAAGCTTGGGACTTTGGCCCAGATGAAGCCTGAGCAGGGCCCTGGGGATAGAGGTGGGTGTGGAGGGAGACTGGAGGGAGCAGGGAGGCGAGGGCAGCAGTCTGGCAAGGCAGGGGCGTTCAGCCAAGGCCTGCCATGTGCTCTAAGCAAAGGGGCCTCATAGGGTGCTTCCAGGTAACAGGGCTGCTCTGGTCACACTATGTGAAGGACAAATAAAGGGTCCAGACTTGGCAGGGGGTGTCTACATTCAATAAAGAAAGACAATTTGCCTTTGAGAAATTCAAGGCTTATGAGGGGCCAGGGGATGGCGAGACTCAGCTGTAGTCTAGGCACCCTGTGTTCCGCATTTCCTTGACTGTGAACCCCACAGAGTCAGCACCTCTCCCTTCGGCTTTGAACAACCTGAACCTCAGTGCTCCAGTGCTGCAGTTCTGAAAAAGGCCCTGTCAGCCTTGGTGGGCCACACCACTCCCAGCACCCCCTCCTCCTGTTCCCATCCTAGCTTCTCACTCACCAGAGTGGGTGGGCTTAGGAGGGGCCCAGTACACAGTAGTGACCCAATAAACCTCTGCTGCTGCAGTGCCCCCCACTGCCGGGACAGACCTTCTGGGGTCTCCGCCACCACCTCACAGCTCCTGCTTACAACACTGCCCCTCTCCACGATGGGACCCTCAAGGACCCACTTGTGTCCATATTTGAACCCACGTCTGAGGCAGGGCCACGGTTTTGCTTTGTACTCACCGCGGTGGCAATGCGTAACCGGACGACCTGACTTTGGCGTGGAAAACCAAGGGCTGGTCCCCCACGGCACTCTGCACAGCTGTGGGAAGACATTAGARAAGCAGCAGATACTCAGTGTCACGACTCATTGTGAACACAGAAAGACCACAGTCTCTTAAAACAGAGAAGTCCACACAGACCAGAGGAGCTTCTGAGCTACAGACGAGAGGCCCCACGGGGAAGTGCAGGCCCACACCGCAGCCAGGGAAGACTAACCACGGGAATGAGAAGCATAAGGACAGTTCCCTCTCATTCCTGACATTGCACTCAGTTGCATGGGCAGAACACAGTCCCCTTCAAAGTGCCCTTCAAACACTCGTGGACAATGCCAGCTCTTCTGTGCTGTGCTGCTTCTAGTCGTGGCTGGAGCACAGGTGGGAAGGAAGCCCTGGGGCTGCGGGCAGGGAAGGAGACTGCCTGGGAGCAGTGTCTGGGAGCAGCGTCTGTCCATCAGTGACAAGCACGGCCTTCCTACTAAGGACCCAGACGCACACAGCCTCTCTAGGAGACGGACACAGCTGCTTGCCGTGTCCATGCACAGAGCACCAAGGAAGCCTGACTACGGCGACACCTGGTGCCTTCTAACAGAAGTGGAGCTCCTCACCAAGCTCTAACACACACACGCGCACAGACACACAGACACACAGACACACACGTACAGACACACACGCACAGACACAGATACACACGCACAGACACACACACATAGACACACACACACTCACACACAGACACACAGACACGCAGACACAGATACACACACACACTCACACACTCAGAGACACACACACAGATACACACAGACACCCCCCCCCCGTGCTTCACAAAAAACCCAGCAACACATGAACTTACCACAAATACTTGCAAACCTCAAAAATGCTCTCAGATGAAAAACAATTTTGCCAGAACTATTTACTTTTGCATAAATTGAATCCTTGATGTTAAAGATAAATTTTTTTTAAATATTTTTTTGGTTGTAGATGGACACAATATCTTTATTTATTTATTTTTATGTGGTGCTGAGGATGGAACCCAGTGCCTCACATGTGCGAGGCGGGCACTCTGCCACTGAGCTACAGCCCCAGCCTCTAAAGATAAATATTTTGCACAAATTATAAAATAGCTTCAGAAAATGGATAAATGCATAATATTAAGTGATAGGTGTTTTTTGTTTTGCTTTGCTTTGTTTTACAAAGAAATTCAGTTCTGACTATTTCAAACCTGACACCCCAAATGATGCCCCATTGAAACCAAGCACACCTAATGAGAGAGCTCTTCAGACACGGCAGGGAGCCAAGTCAGCACAGTGGGGGCGGCCCACCCGTAGAGGAAAGCCATGTGATGACTTCCTACTCTTCAGAACAGGGAGCTCCAGGGGCAGAGCTCCCAGAAATACCAAGGAGGTGGGTGTCCACCACAGCCAGGCCTGGGGCACACATGGGCACAGCCAAGGTCAGAAGGCAGAGCCCAGGGACAGCTTCCTGCAAGGGGAGGGTACAGTGCGAGCCATCTCTGCGGTGTCTGTGAGCAGAACATAAAAATGGTTTGTTTGAGGGCCTTAACTGTTTTAAGCAGGCCAAGTAAGACCTTTAACAATACTGAGTTAAGAGTTCAGACTGAACATTGAAGGGAAAAAAAGAATATCAGTGATTCCTACACAGTGAGTACTGGGACACAGGGAAGCCTGCCTCTCAAATGAAAGCAACTTTCAAATCTTTTCTTGGAAAAAAAGCAACAAGTAGGTTATTAAGAACCAAGGCATAAAAAAAAGCATTTTTTAGACCATCAAGAATAATGAATCATGGTATGGCCAATACAAGAGACCAAGGGATCACAGTTTCTTTGGATAGAACTACATCATGGTTGGTTGTCTGGGAAACACATGCTGGAGTACGCAGGGTGGATTAGCAGGACGTGTGGTCACTGGGGACCCTCCACGTGCACCCAGCCCTGGCCACAGACACAACCACCCGTGTGAAGCCAGCCTCTGAATGCCTGTGAAGGACCACAGCTCAGGAAGAGACACCGCACACCTGCCCAGCCACGGAGGATGTGCAGTCCACTCCAGAGAGGCAGGGCAGCAGCAGAGGCAGGGCAGCACACCGACTGGCATGTTGAGAGGCAGGAGTAACGGAGCACGTCCTAGTCAGCTTTGCACTTTTATGTTTTAGAGTGTATTCTACTAACCAGATTGTTTTTGACCAGAAGGTTTAGTACTTTTCTCCTTAACAACTCCAAGATACAGGGGAGAAGTTGGTAGAACACAGGAGCTGAAACAAAAATAAAGCCAGGCTATAAAGCAAACAAGGATAAAATGGAATTGCTCAATGGAACACACAATAAGTATGGTAACAAATGATTAATTCACACAGACAAGGGCACACAATATTTAGAAATAAAAACTACAATATTTGGAATAAAAACTATCAAGCTTATTCTTGTTCTGAAAGGAAAATTCAGTATATTTTTAATAAATGTGCTATCTTATAATCTGCATTCTATTCTGAAATAAAATAGTATTTTGTGTTAAACTATGAATCTTTTCATTTTCAATAAGATAAAAGAAGCAATGGTATGAACAATAATTCCTTTCACATAGGGTTAGGATGGCTGAGTATTTACTAAATTTTACCTTTATTTCTTAACATGAAAAGAAATCTAGCTATGCATTGTGGTACAAATCTGTCATCCCGACTTGGGAGGCTGAGGCAGGTGGATTGCAAGTTGGAGGCCAGCCTCAGCAACTTAACAATACCCTAAGCAAGTTAGTGAGAACCTGTCTCAAAATAAAAAAGAAAAAGGCTAGGGRCGTGGCTCAGTGTTAACGTTAAGCACCTCTGGCTTTAATCCCTGGTACCAAAAAGAAAAAAATCTGAAAAATGCTCACTGATCAACACAATCAACACCCACACGGGGACATCGCCCTCGAGCAGACTGTACCTCGCCAGCACTGACAGTGCCTTCTCGGGGACAGGGCCCTGCTGGGACCTCACCAGAGTATCCAGGCTGACTTCCAGTATGGCGATTCTCTTCCCAAACATGGACGTGAGCAGGCAAAAGGCCTATGAAGGACAGCATTGTGACAGAGTTAATGACATGGCCAGACACTAAGGAGACCGCAGGTCTACATCCACGGCCCTCCTCACAGCACGGCTTTCCACGTCAAGCCTGCTGCATGTGGGCCAAGCTATGCCACTCGACAGGTGTGTGCAGCTGCACAGCACGCACAACTCGGGCAGTCTCTGTGCCATGCCAGCTGGCAGTGCTCCGGGAGATGCGCCTGGCAGGAGCAGGGGGTGAGACCTCCACTGACCTTGTGGTCAGCAGCCTGGCTCGTCACAGCGCAGGAACCAGCCACCTGGACGCTGAGGCCCCTGAAGTCTTGACATGCAGCAGAGACAAGGAGACAATGTTTAGGTGGCCAGCCAGGGAACCGAGCCTGGCAGACCCATCCATTCCACCTGGTTACCTGCACCAGTAGCCAGGGACATGGCCAGGGAGGAGATGGGCCTCCCTGTCATGAGGCCCAGAACCAGACACTGGGCAGGAGGTGACAAACATGAAGCTGCAACAGGCTGTGCGAGTGTTGGAGAGGAGAAGGGAGCTTCCAGTGAGGACCCACCTCCCAGGACTGAGCAAGTGGCCCTGACGCTGAACAGGAGGGACAGGGCGGGGGCACGGTCAGTGGAGAAGAGGCCTGAACTGATCCACTCGCCCTGCAGTCTGGAGGATTCAGAGGACAGAAGGAAAGCCATGACCTTGGGGCACTCGACAAGAACCAGGGGCCCTGGAGGACCTAGAATGGGATGTGGCCCAGCCGAGGATGGCTACTCCACCCTGAACGCCTCAGAAGCCTCAGAAGGACCAAACAAGTGAGCCTCTAAGAAGGCTCTTGGCTCAAGTGCAGAGGAGAGAGTGGCCAGGGTGGCCACCTTGCAGATAGGTGGAGGCCAGGACTGGGTAAGTGCCACTGCTTCCTGCTGGGCACAGGAAGGACAGGGCCTCAGGTCAGGGTGACAACACATGGAGACGGGGGTCTGTGAGCTGGCAGTACTCAGGGCATGTGTGTGCAGGGAGAGGGGGTGCACAGGAGCCTGGTGCATGTGAAGAAGAGGGCCGGGACACAGCACAGAGGGTGCAGAAAGGCTGAGCAACACAGGGAAGGGGCTGGGAGGGAGGGGAGGGGCACACCACAGGTGCTGATTCTGCCAGATGGTCGGGAAATGCAGGACTGAAACAGTGTCCTTTGGGTTAGAAACACAGAAGTCACAGGTAAGGAGCCACGTTGCTTCTGATAAAAGTGACCTTCAAACCTGAGCAGTACGCTTGCACCCCTAAACTTTCACCACCCCTCATGTCATTCCAAGAAACCCTCAAGTGTAAGAGACGATGTCAGAGAAGACTGAACTCTGTTTTACCTTTGAAGTGTAGTGCATGCTCCAGTTCCAAGCTTGCCAGGTGGAATATGAACAGACCAGTTGAACTTGCGATCCACAAGCAGGTGCTGCTCTCAGAAGGGAGGCTGCTTTAAGGAAGGGGAACACTGTCAGCAGAACCTCTCCCTCAAGATTAGCTCCGCATGTTTCCTGGTGTTGCTGCCCTTTCTCCACACATGGGGGCAGCACGTGCCCCCTGCGGGCACCCAGAAGGTGTGTGCATGGACACTGCAGTCGGTGGGCTCATCCTATTCCTACCTGCACCCTGAAATCTGTGGGGTTGATGGCCACCCACCAGCCATCTCCTAGAGGCAAGTGACCCCAGGTGGCCCCAGGCTGGCCCCACCTAAGTCTGACCCTCATTATAGACTCGTGGTTACAGCAAAGGAGGAGGCAAGTTCAGAGAGGAAACCAACAGCCCTGAGTGCAGAGCTCGCAGGCAGAGTGTGAGCCCCAGTCAGAGCCCACCTGATCTCCCCCAGACAGCTCTGGCCTGCCCACTGTCAGGGTGCAGCCCAGCTCCTGGCTTCAGTGCTGGAGCAGTCTGCCCTCCCACGTGGCTCCTGCTCCACACCGTCCAGACCCTCAGGTCCTGCCAACAGCATAAGGTGGGGTGCTCCCGCTTTGCCCTGCCCTGCAGGTGCTCCCCTTCCCTGAGGAGGACAGGAGGAACCCTCTGCCTCTGGTCCAGAAACCAAGACTGGGACACAAGGTCAGCCTGCCTTCCTGAGCCTGCTGCTCCCAATAGATGAGGCCAGTAGGGAGTTCTGGACTCCTAGGACCAAGGCCATTGGGCAAGCTGCCCACCTCTCATTTCCCACTCCATCCAGAGGAGATAGGAGGCTTGTCTTCTGTGCCCTTACAGAGGTAAAGATTTGCCTAGATTTGGGTGAGCAGAATTGAAACCATCCAATTTCTTTTATTCAAGAGGCTTAAATCAAACCAAATTTACCAGTTCCTAGAAATGAAGTATGCAATTCTAAGAGAGCTTGCACCCAATCGGAGGCAAAAGTGATTTGGCTTTGTTCTATTCATTCTTCAAAACTAAACATAACACGCAATTAAGGAATTTGTGTGTGGGAGGTGCTGGGATGGAACCCAAGGTTGTGCACAGGCTAGGCCAGTCCTCTACTGGCCAGCCACACCCCAGACCCTCTCTTCTTTCTTCTTTTATTGTGAGATGGAGTCTCACTAAGTTGCCAGCCTGGATTCAAACTTGCAATGCTTCCTGCATAGTTGGAATTGCCGTGTGCAGCACCCTGCCCTGTTCACCTGAGGGATGTAAAGGTTTCTCTTCATGATTTTGGCCCAGCTTGCCATACATACACTCCGCATCCAGCATCTAGAAGGCGTGGAAGGTAGCAGCTTGCCAGCATCAGGATGGGGAGGGCTGCTTCAGCCTCTTCTCTTTGGTCCAGCATCTTCCTAGAGGGGCGCTGACTCTCCTCTAGGGAACAGAATCATGGACAATCTGAAATTAGGCTTATCGACCAAGTTGAAAGGCAGACAACTGACTTAGTGGGAGGTTGCCACAGGTATGAATTGCTAGAATACCTCAAATCCAGAATCAGAGAAATCATTCTGAGTATCACTAAAAAAAAAAAAAATCAAACAGAAACTGTATCTTCCATCCTGAAGTCTGTGAACAATGAAATTTCAAACATAGAACCAAAAAAAAAGGAGTGGAGAAGAAGAGATGGTTGACATAGAAGCTAATTTCACATTTCCCAAGACAATCTTAGGATTTACCTCTAGAAGAAGAGTGTCTTATTTATAAGACAAATAATGAAGGCAAGGTTTAAAGAAGTGCTTTTATTGGAAAGGTAATTTCTGACCTGATACATAAAGAAACTGTTTACAGCCACCTACAAAAATCTCAGAGGAAAAGAAGAACAGCGACAAGAATCCCTGCACAGACAGCAGGTCTGTGGAAATGAGAGCTTGGCCACACAGGGACACGGGGCTCCCAGCAGAGCACCTGCTCTGTGTGTAATACGTGGCGGAGGGACAGTGCTCTGGGGACAGGGTGGGAGGAGCTCAGCATGGCAGGACCAGAGAAGGCCTGCGGGTGGCAGGAGGGTGAGGTGGAGGTGAAGGTGCATGTGACACTGGGGGCAGGGGAACACCGCACTCTGCTCAGATCACCATTCTGAATCCTCAAAGGCCTGTGCCCACTGGTCCCCACTGCCGCGATCAACTCTGTGGCTTATGTCCCTCTGTTCAATTCCCCCGCAACCCCACACACAGTTGCGCCACTGTTGGCRCAGAGCAGCCCCCACTCTGTCTCACAGGACCTCCCAGGGCTGAGGTGTCTTCCAAAGTCAAGGAAGGCTTCTCCTAGATGACGGACCTTTCCTTGACACCCCCACCCTGTCCGACACGGAAAGCAGGAGACCCAAGGAACACACACACCTGGCAGGCTGCACACCTCGGACTCCATCCTTCGGGTGAAGAAAGCCTTGTTTTTCCTCCTTAGGTCAACACGTGCCACACAACGGTAATGGTGCCTTTCTATCAAACTGAAGACCCAAAGCTGAGAAAGCAAAACAGGTAGACAGGAGTCTCTCTCACACTGGAGCTTACGAAAAGAGGGGACACCTAAGGAGGAAAGTGGGTCAAGAGCAAAGAAGTTGTGCCCTTCATCTTCCCCCAGTGATGCAACTGAATGTCCTCTGGCCCCCAGGCGCACTCCCAGGTCCCTTCCCCCATGGACGCCAGTCTCAGTGTACCTGCTTGTGATGGGCAGTCAGTCCCAAACACTGAGGTCAGGTCAGACGCCACCTCAGCTGTATGTGTCCACCTAGGAGGTCCCCATGGCCTACACCCAGTCTCCCCTCCAGGCCACAGCATGGCCTCAAAGCCATGAGCCATGACCACAGCACTGGCAATGAGACCTGGTTAACAGCAGTCAACTTTGTCAAAAAGAAAATAAATTCATAACCCCCACAAAAAAAAAAGAAGTAAAAAACATTAAACTCTATTAGCTTCCAAAAGCATATCTTTCTCATATCGTATCAACAACTACTTTACCCATGCTTTGTGAAATAAACCTAAAACGCTCACATAAAAACTTTTTGAAACAGATTAAGTATTATATTAGTCAGCTTTTGGTTGCTGTGACCAAAGGACATGACAAGAACAACTTGGAGAAGGAAAAGTCTATTTTGGCTTGTGGTTTCACAGGTTCGGTCCATGGTCAGCCTACTCATAGCTCTGACCGACAGGTGAGAAACAGCAACTGGTGGAAGGACCTGGTAAAGACAGTCAGGAAGCAGAGAGAGCTTGGGCAAAGACCAGGGGTAACATAATTCCTAAGGGCACGCCACCAGGGATCTAATTCCTTCAGCCCCACCCTCCATTCAAATGATTAACCTGTCAAAAAGATCAATCCACTGATGAGATCACATTTCTCAGAATCTAATCTTTTCACCTTTGAACATTCCTGCATTGTCTCACACATGAAGTTTGGGAAACATGTAGTATCCAAACCATAATATTCTGCCTTTGGTATCCAAAATCTCATGCTCCTCTTACAATGAAAACTATATTCAGTTCATTTTCAAGAGACTCCATAGTCTTCAAAGTTCCAGCATTGCCCAAAAGTCTGAATCCCAAGTCTTATCTGAGACTCAAGGCAAACTCAGCATGAGTTCCTGCAAAGATCAAACAGCAAATTATATCAAATTATATGAGGCACAGAATAAACATTTCCATTCCACATGGAAAAAAGAGGTGAATAGAAATAATGAGTGGGACAAAAGCAAGAACAAACAAGGTCTAAGTCCCACAGCTAGCATCCGGGACATGTGACATCCTGATGTTCTCTCCAGAGGGCTTGCATAGCTCGGCCCTAGGCCCTTGCTGATTGCAGCCCACATGGCCTCTCTTGCCTTTCTTGGCTTGGTGTCTGCAACTTTGCTCAGTAGACATTCCATATTAATAGCATCTCTTAGTCTCAGGTGTCTTCACGGCAGCTGCGGCTTCCTGCTCACATAACACAGCACTTTGGGGGTAGCCCATTGGAACTCTGACCCTGCTATATATTGCCTGGCCTCCCAAACCATGAGCCAAAATAAACTTTCCTCCTCTAAGTGTTTGTGTCAGGTCTTTTTGACACAGCAGCCAAAGGCTGACTAATACAATAATAAACTGTTTCCAAAAGTTTTTATACGAGCATATTAGGTTTACTTCACCAAGTACTGAATATGGGTTTCCTCTGAAGTTTCCAAGACCCCACACTTGAGTGTCCTGAATTCCTGCAGAATGAGCATCACCTGGATGATACCAAGGTCTGCTGATATCTGAAGCAGCAGCCGGGCTCCTGGGACCACAGCTGCAGTGGCTTCTGAGTGCATGGAGGACTGAACAGAGCTGAAACAACTACTTAGGTGCCCCTATATAAGCAGGATTCCCATGGTCTCTTCTCAAAGGGATTTTTATGTTTACACCTTTGATTCTGAGATAGGTGTAATCTTGCCAATTCCTTTGAGAACTTCAAACTGTCTTTCCTATTGTCTTTCCTATTGTGTAAAGTACTTAGCATCTCTTTAGCAGCTTTAATCTCTTCAACAACCATAACTTCCTTCATCCAAGTTTTACATGCACTTTTCTGGCCAAGTTTTAAATTTTTTCAATCATTCCACTCCACTTTCTACTCCTGATTCTCATAGCAAACTTAATTAAACTGCCAGCAATATCCATACCACCACCTGAATGCTGTGCTGATGTGAAATTTCCTCTACCATACTAATTAATCCATTAGTCCATCACTAATTTATCATTAAATTTAGCCTCAAAGAAAGTCTCAGGACATGGGGTAAATATCATAAATGGCCTCCAGTCCTATTTCCAATAGAGTCCTCCTCCCCTTCTGGAACCCCAGGAGCACAATCTTTACTGTTCACAGTCCTATTGGCATTCTAGTCTTCTGAGCTTCCACAAGAAATGACCATTAAGCTCTGCTTAAACATTCTAAGGTTTCTACAACCTGCATCTCCAAACTTCTCCAAACTCTTCCTACAAACCAGTTCCTAAAGCCTCTGAACTACATCACAGCAACAACCCCACTCCCAGTACCAATTTCTGCATTATCAACTCTTTGTCACTGTGACCAAAATACCTGACATAAACAACTTAGAGGAGGAAAAGTTTATTTCAGCTCATGGTTTCAGAGGTTCAGTCCATGGTCCGTCAATTCCATAAGCTCTGGACCTAAGGGGGAAGAGCATCATGGCAGAAGGACATGGCAGAGGAGCGCTGCTCCATTTTCTACAGCCAGAAAGCAGAGAGAGCTTGAGTGCAAGGAACCAGTAATAGCATAATTAACCAGGGCACAGCATCTACTTTCTCTTGTCACACCCTATCTGCCCACAGTTACCCATTAGTCCATTCAAATGACTAATCCATCAAATAAATTAATCTACCAATTAGCTCTCACAATCTAATAATTTCACCTCTGAGCAATCTTGTTTTGCCTCATGCATAAGCTTTCAGGAGACACCTCATATCCAAACAAATATCTTCAGTTTCCAAAAAATATATAATGCTGTTGCTAATGGTCAAATGAGTGTTTCTCATGGTCTGTTGTACTCCAGAGTCACGTGTGGAGCTTCCAAAGCACGAAGATTTATCCATCTTCTCTGCAGACCCATGGGCCCAGGCATGGACTAAAATCCCCTTTGCTCTACCATGAGCTGACTTATACAAAGAGTCCCCAACCCAGGACTGAGGGTGAACAGTTTCTTCAAATCACAAAAAAATTCACAATAATAAGGAAGCAAAGACCTTTTGTGCACAGGTTCACTTGCAGCAATATCTGAAAGTGGGCTCTAACTACAGGGTTCTCTCACCTGGCCATCAGCACACCCTGTGAGAAGCTGCTTACTGTCCTCATCGATGAACAAACTCAGGAGAGGATATGCTGTGGGAAGGAGCACAAATGTAGTTGAGAAACTGAGGTGACCTTCGTTCTTAGAAAACCCACAGAGTGTCCCTAGGCACCTAGCTATTGTGCTGAGTCATTTGTCCGTGAATAACAGGAAAAGTCTGTACAGCCAGATATCCCTGACTGCAGTGCGAGATGTCCTTGACTCAGCAATGAAGTTCCTGGGAAGACCAAAGAATGCTTGAGGCCTAAGTTCTGACCTAATGACCCACAGCAACAACCAATCAGCATGAGACAAGGAAGATATCTGGAATGTCAGGATTGATTGATAACATGATTGATAACATTGATTGATAACATGATTAGGAAACCCTGCAGTTTAGCAAATACACTCTTGCAACCCCTCGAAGCCTAAACCAATCAGTTCAAATGTATCCACCACTTGAACCAACCAATCACCCTTCCCGACTTGTTCCCACCAATGAATATGCTAATCAACGTTAAGAGTTGTGTTTGATTTTCCCACGATGTGAAATGATTTGCTGTGTGATGTTGTGATGCATAGAGTAGCCCCCAAAACCTATAAATCCTCACTGAACTAAGGGCCCAGTCTCCTTCCTCAGGACCACTGCGTCAGAAACGGTTGTGAGTCCCGGCTTGAGCTTGTAATAAAGACTCTAGTGTGACTGCATCAGATTCAGCTCCTGGATTACAATCCCCCTTGCTCTGGAGGTCTACTGGGGTCCCACAAATCTGGTTCAACATAGTCAGCACCCCAATACCTGGCTCCATCATGCTGGACCTGAGGCTCCCTGACAGCACTCCTGTCAGACACTCTCAGCTCTTGTGAAATAACTTCCTCACCAAGGTGTAAGAACTGTGAGTGAATACAAAGCTTGAAAACTACACAAGCATAAGGAAAGACAGGGAAGTAATTCCAAATTAAAACCATGGGGTGGCTATGAGTTAGCCGGCTACAGGCAGAACTGAAAGTGTTGCTTCCCTTCGCCTGCACAAAGCCTGCTGTGCCAAAGCACATCCGCTGCACCCACCCAACAGCTGTGGGTGGGAGCAGGCGCAGGAGCTCCGTCAGCAGGTCTCACGGGGCAGAGCAATTCCTCCTCAACCAGGAATAACTAAGTGACTTGGGATAAAAAGAGCAACTAAATGGATGTCTGGTTTCTTTAAAAATTGTTGCCTAGAATCATTTCCTTCAATAATTTAGGAGAACTAGATAAATGATATTAGAAAACACTCTATGTCCTAAGTAGGCTATGACATCCAAGGTCAAGAATCAGGAATGCCCTGGATGTGACACCTCTAAGTCCTGCTGCCCCAGGGGCACTGGACAATGACTGCATTCCACAGAACTTGGGCTTCACCCACCTGGGATGAGGGTGGCTCCAGGAGCAGGCGTCACCAGGTGGGGCTGAGCTACACTCCCCTGTTCCTTTGTAACCCTACCCCTTTGCCCTTTTGGGGATGTTCTATGGGACCTCCCCTTGTGTGTCCCCTAAATAAGAATGAAGAATTCCTATGGCTCTCTCTCTCTCCACAGAAACTTAACTTCACAGAGCTGTCCCTGGATTATTGAAAAGGTCCTTCTGTGTGGTTGCTGCCTTCTTGGTTGTTTTCTTGAGTTACTGGAATAGCCAGATTTTGTGAACCCAGCATTAGGGGGCCAGCGGGGATAGATGGCGATAGTCAAGGGCACAACTGTGTTCTTTTTGTTTGTTTGTTTTTGTTTTTATGTGATGTTGAAGATCAAATCCAGTGCCCGACGCATGCCAGGCCAGCACACTACCGCTTGAGCCGCATCCCCAGCCCCACAACGGTGTTCTTGATAGTCAAATAGTGACTCCACATAACTCATTTTGAGACAATCATTCCAACACACTTCCAAGAAATGTGTGTTACTCCTGAGACTGGTAAGTTATTCACACCGTTAGGTCTCGCTATTCTGCACCCAGACAGACCTCAGGGTACACCACAGTCTTTGGGAAATACAAGAGAGGCTCTACCAGGTCACCAGGTACCTTCCCATCTAGATGGCAGTGCAATTTACTCAACCCGGGAAAGAGCTCACCCATTCTAGTCTCCCGTTTTCCTTCCTCCAGTGAGACAGACGTGCACACAAGGAGTCAAACCAAGCCCCAGGATACCAGCCCAGGAGCGGCTGGGAGACGCAGGTGTGGGCTAGGTAATCCTAGGGCATCACGAACAACAGCCCTCCCATACTGTGAGGAGATCAGACCCCAGAGACATTTCACATTGCCTAACATTCAGGCCCTCGTTGGAATAATCATGTGTCGGTTTCATGTGCCACCAAAAGACACGATTACCCTGAATTCATGAGCTGCACAGATGCTCCCATCCTAGTAGTGGGGTGGAGCAGGCCAACCTTCCTCAGCAAGCACTGGGCCAACGCAGGTGATACCTGACGAAGTCCTCACATCCTAGGGACTGTCTCTAGGGGACAGTGGAGAGCTCACACTCCCTGCAATCAGGCACTGAATCTGAGAGCCAACGACTGTGCACCTTTCTAAACAGAGAAGTTCAGACTTCAAGTGTGTGTTTAAGTTGAAAACCTCAAGGACATTAACTGTGAGTGAGTCAGTTCAGTCTTTACTCAGAAGGCTGGTGGACTCAGGTCCACCACCTCAGGAGCTGAATGCCTCACAGCCTACTCAGCAAAGCCAGAGGACTCTTGAACTTACCTGCAAAAAYAGACGAGCTGTACACTAATGTTCCCAAACAGTGGTCCCAGACCTTTGGACAAACAGACATTTCTTCAGGAAAGGTAAAAATCTTGACATTACTGCTAAACCTCAAACTAAATTCTACCCAATTACAAATTAATCTATGTAAATAATTATAACAATTGAAATGAAAATATGCAAATAGAACTATAACTACGTGTATTCAAACCGTTAGGCCTCTCTGTTCTGCACCCTGATAGACCGACCTCGGGGTACACCATAGTCTTCAGGAAATACAAGAGAGGCTCTACCAGGTCACCAGGTACCTTCCCATCTAGATGGCACTGCAATTTACTCATCCAAAGTAAATTGCCAAAGGGTGTCAAAACCAAGACACTACTTCCATCGTCTCTAACCCACGGGGAGAGGGGACTTCCATCCTCTCTAACCCACGGGCAGAGGGGACTTGAAGACACAAGCCCAGGACAGGTGGGAAACAAGCCTGCGTGTGCAGCCAACTGCCCTATGGGGGGCATAGATGGAAGGCAGGAGTCCTCAGCAGGGCTGCATCGGATGGGCACCCTGTCCACTGAACATGTGATTGAGCACCACACAGTGCGTCCACTGGGTCAGACACTAACCAGCACCTGGGGGAGTGGGCAGTGCGAAGGACAGAGCGGGAGAGGGGAGCTGGCCACTCCCTTATCCCCAGTCCTTGGGAGAGATCTGGAGGGTGACCTTGGTTGTGAAGGAAGCCCACCTGCCCAGCGGGCACGGGCCTCTCACACAGCTCCCCCCCCCCCGTAAGCACAGCTCTGCCCTCTGCTGCGTCCCGATGGCCCCTCAGAGGAGCCCCCTGGGTGAGTCCTCTGCGTGCTCTCTTTGGATCTGGTGAGCAGTAAGGTGGGGCCTTGGCTGGGCTCGAGTAGGGCAGCTGGTCAGGGGTGCAGCTAGGACGTCTGTCCCCACACCTGCACCAGAGCTGGGGAGAGCAGTGCCCTGTGGGGGTCCACCCTGGCTTCACCACACAGGTGTTCCCAAACGACCAAGGCAGGCACCTAACGAGTCATTTTTCTGATAGATGTCGCGACCCTCGATTTTCCTTCCAAGGCAGTGTATAAAGTCCTCCCTTGGTTAATAAAATCCCAACAATGTCAGCTGACTTGGGCCTGAGGGGACAAACTCGCCTTTTCCTCTATTTCCTTTAAGCAGGGATTAGTTCTCATTGAACACCCCAGTTCTGAACACTGGGTCTTCTGCTCTCAGTCACCAGAAACACTGGATTATAAATTAGCCCTTTAGCTCTCAAGGTCGAGGGTCTGAGGAGAGTTCCTGCATTCCCACACAGTTCACACCTGTGTGGGAATGCAACAGGCCAAGGACCGTGCGGCTGGGAATCCCAACCCAGCTCCCAAACCCTGCCAGATTCCTTTTTTGTATGAAAAGTAGAGAAATTCCTATTTCTCTACTTTCTTATATAAGCGCACTAGCAACAAGCCACACATGAACAGTGATCATCAAACAACAATGCACCAATGTGCTCGAGCCTTTCCCCAATATCAGAAATCAGCCCAGGGCCCACCCTACCTTAAAGCTCCTGTCTTCAGACACTGAAATGAGGATTTGTCCCTGCCAGGGACAAAATTCTGCAGCGGTCACTGGGCCCTGATGGCCCTCCAGTTCCACCAGCACAGATGGACTCTAGAAGAATTGTGAAGAAGATTACTAGAGGGATGTTCTGGAATGAGTATCATCAAGAAGTCATAATATACCACAGAGAGTAGTCCCTGCTGAAATAAACTCTACTTTACGTGTCCACTCTTCCAACTGTGGAACGAGTCCTGTGTAAGCCTGGAAGTGAGGATCCCAAAGGCTGAGTTCCAGGGGGGCTCAGGCTGGCGCACGTCAGCAGGACGGCAGCAGGACGGCAGCAGACGGCAGCCCAGCACCAGGCCCGGTGCCCCACACCAGCACCTCTACTGCACCCTCCTGAGGCTGCTTTCTGCTGCCAGCGGCCTCTGGCTCCTGTGGGAGGGGGCCGGGGTGCTCCAGTGTCTTCCTCTGACTCATCTCCCTGTCCCTTCCCCTCTTCCCCCTTCCCTCTCTCCCTGGACACACCCATGATGCCTTCTATTCTCCCAGCCTCTGCTGCCCACAAGGCAGTCACTGAAACACAGCACGCAGCATGCAGACTCCTCCCACAGCCCAGCGGCAGCCCAGGGGCCAGCACTAAAGCTCACACTCTGAGATGGCCTGAGAAAGAGGCGGAGAGAGCACCAGGGGCCCCAAGAGCCACAGCCACCTCCCTCATGTGTCCCTTGGGGTCCCAGCACCTGTGGGTGGGGAACTCTGCTCCAACTTTACGGCACTCAATCCAGGAAGGAGAAACAGCCCTGATATTCAGAACACATATCTGTGTACATGCATATAGAGAGAGACTTAACGTGCAGACAATGAACTCTAAAAACTTTCCTCAATAATTCAACAGACAACCTTGACAAGCACATTGTTCCAATTGCCATCAGACAGTTAAGGACAGCAGGTGAGATGATCGTGCACAGGGGTGAGGGTAGCTGGAGCTGTTCTGAAGCACACGCTCTGTTCTCTCTAGGTTCACTTGTCTACACATGACATTATATCCTGAAAGGTACTATAAGTCATGTCCTCTAATAGCTTAWGATTGTATTTCATAATTAAACGCTTCATATTCCCTTGTAACTTTCAGAGCAAACTCTGTCATGGGTAACTGCTTCCTTGCTGATGCTCTGCTCAGAGCACCTGAGCCGGTCAAGGGCTGATTCAGTCACTTGGCARTGTCCACTCCTGTCCACTAAGATTCACTTGCTTGGTGAAGACCCACAGGTCACCTGCCTGCTGCTGAGGAAGCCCCAGGCTGGCGGGGGCTGGACAGCCTCTGGAGCAACTGCTGCCAGCTCTGATTCACAGGGAGCTTCAGGTGTGCGGCTGGGACCGCAGCCAGCACTGTCCACTGTGCCTCTCAGGGCACTCGATCCTCAGTCAGGTGATAACAATATTAAGTACCTTCCCATTCGGTTTGGTTTTGCTTTTCCTGGCATAAGATGTCAATCCTTTCATGTTAGTGATTTTCTTCTTATGTTGTGGAGTGACCCAATGCTGATCAAATACCACATGTTTGCACTTTACATCCTTAGTGCCAAAACACGGGCTTCTCAACTGCTGACAGGAACTCCTGGAGCCCTCTGCCACACACACGACACACCTCCTCCAAGGTCTACGACCCACGTGACGATGCTCACTTCACCTAATGTGAGCCTCGGTTTCACATCAGCTCCAAAGTCATCTGGAGACAGAAATGTCTTCTCTGTGTCCCCAAATGCCAGCACACTCTGGGCATGATGAACATTTGCCATTTTACACCTGACACCTTCCTCCTCTATGTGTTTTAAGGTGGTTGGTCAAGGAAAGCTATAGCACCAAACCCACACCATGACCTGTGTAGATCCAGCAAACAGATAGCAAGGTGGGGTGCCAGACTTGGGGAAAGCCCCAATCTGCATCTCAAGCACTATATGCACCCAAAGGGAACAAAGTGCCCTCCTTCACGCTCCCACATCCCTTCCCACGCCCACTCAGCAGTACTTACCAGGAGTCAAGCGCCAGCTCCAGACGAACATTGTGTTTAAGACTGCCAACCTAGAGGGGGCAACTGTCACTTCAACTAGGCCCAACTAGGAGGTAAGTGAGCACCGCGATCCTTTGTGGAAACAGGCTCTGGCAAGAACGTGGATGTGGCACTCTATACCACAAGGGCTCTGAAGAGATCCCCAGGGTAGAAGCATGCTCAAGACATCAAAGTTTTACAAGCACATGCTCAAGTCATCCCTGAAGTTCTAATGATTTATCTCAACAGTGCTCTTTAATTCTAGCAGCTTTCCAATCTCAAGCTAAAGGTGTATTTTCATTAAATCTTTATAAAAATACATCAAACTAAAACTACTGCTTTAAAAGGAAGAGCAGAAAATTTTTTAAAAAGGGGGGAGCAGGGTCTGAGCACCTGAGTGGCCCCACCAGCCCTGCACCTCCCAGGTTCCACAGTAGCCAGATCTTACCTCCACGTCCAACACCAACACTCTGCTGCCAGCACATGCTGCAACAACACGGTCTTCTGGACTAAATCTTAAATACAGCACTTTTTCCAAAAGCGTGCCCATGACGGTCCCTCGAGGAACCAGCCCTGGAGAAAGTTTCAGGCATTAGTTCGGCAGTCACACAGCTTGGAAACCACAGAAGGGTGATAGTGTCATTCTCTACCCTGACATCACCAGGGGAAGCACAACCACTTTGGGATGATTCTGGTTTTTTCAAAGTATCCAGATAACTGAAAGTGTTCGGGGCTCAGGACCTATTCTGGGTGGTAGAGTCCCACCATAAGGACATCCCCCAGCCGGCCCTGCAGGGCCCAGGGGGTTGTGGCAAGCACGAGGAGTGGAGCTGGCCCAGGAGTCCCGCCTTCTCATGTGGAGCTGTGCCCAGGGCCCACCTGTGCCACAGAGCAAGCACTCCCTGGCAACCGTCCTGGCCCCTGCCCTGGCCCCTGCCCTCCCTGCAGGCACCAGCAAGGCGTGTCTCCAGCCACCCAAGACACTCCACAGGGATGCGTGTGTGTCACTCCAAGTGTGGCTGTGGCCAGGCCACCCCTCTGGACTCACTCAAGGGCTCCCTAACAAGCACCCCACCATGCCAGCCTTTTTCCAGAAACTGGGGATACCACCCACGGGACAGCTCACTCAGGTAATGAGGAGACACAGAAAACACCAATAACCAGAGACAACAGCCATGGAGACGACCAGAGGGGAAACTCTGCTACGACAGGGACCCAGCAGGAGAGGCAACTGGGTGCCAGGTGGTGGCCAGAAATGGCCCATGACAAAGGAGACCCAGGCAGAATGGGCAGTGGCTCAGTGCAGAGGGGTCACATAAGCAGATGGAGCCACAAGGGGAGGCCCTGGGGCAGGACTGGTCTGCACTGCTCCTCCAGCTGGGGTGGGGTTGCAGCTTTTGGACTCAGGCTCTGCAGGAGGCAGGGGGCCCTGGAGGGCTCTGTGCAGAGGGGTCCCATAAGCAGACTGACTTTAAAGACGTTCTGGCTACGGGTTGAGTGGGCCTGGGGAGGGCAGGGAGGAGGGAGACTGGGAGAGGCTGATGCAAAAATCCAGACGAGAGCCTGGGGGGCAAGCCTGGATACAGCCGTGGGGTGCCAGGAGTTTCCAGGGCGGCTGTGGTTTGAGGGTAAAGGAGACAGAACTTGATGACACAATGGAACTGGGGCCGAAGGACGGACACTTGAAGGTTCTGACCTGAATGCCAGAGGGGGGGAGTCTGGGTGACCCCAGAGGGGAAGGCAGAGGAAGAGGTTCTGTGGGAAGGCAGGTCCACGCTGGCCATCCTTCATCCTCTTAGACATGGGGAAATGTCCAGTCAAGAGAGGGGGCCCAGCCAGGGAGCAGAGGGTGCCATCAGCACACGAACTATGAAAAGCCAGCAGCCTGGCTCCAATCGTGGAGACAGGGACTTTGACGAGACAGGAGAAGCCTGCACTACACCATTTGGGGCTAGAGAAGGAGGAGCAGGCATGGAGGTTGCAGGCGAGTGGCCCCTAGGCTCAGAGGTCTGAGCTAACCAGACCCAGAGGCCAGTAGCTGCGGTACTCMAAGTCCAAGCACAAATCCAATCAGCATCAGACTCGGAAGTCCTGGGAACCATGCTCTCCAGCCCAGCGTACCCACGAACCAAACACATCTATGCCAGTTCCCGCGAAAGACTCGGGAGCCACATCAGTGGCTTCAGCTAGTGAGGACCACTGTGCCAGTTGCAGGAGAGTCTGTCCTCACTCCACTGAAGCTCCAGAACACCAAGGTGGACACCTGCAACCTGACTCTGCTCACTCAGGGCTACACCTCAGGGCTGAAGTTCTGCTCACCATCCTGGGAGCACACCAGGTGGGAGAGAAAGTCTGTGGGAGCCTCCAGTGAGCAGCCCAAAAGAAGCTCACAGGCACAGCTCCGTCTGCCTGGGAAGGCTGCCTACCTACAAGGATCTCTAGAACGAGTCACCACCAGGGTTCCTCCTCTGCACCCCTACGTGAGCACACAGGTAGTGCATGTGTCTGAGCTTGCTCACGGCCATACAGACACTGGAAATACCACATTGTGCAGATTCAATAAAGGTGGGATATACCCTATTACTCCGCTGCCTGAGTGAGCACTTTCATTTTTTAGAGTAGCCTTACAAACTCAGATTCCTCTACGTGGTCCCCACCTAACTTGTCAGACTCACCTGGCAACGTTCTCCTAACAGTGCCATGCATCTCACAAGACCTTCTCAGTTCTCCAACAGCCAGCGCCCGGTGCCCAGAGCCTGTGTGTGCCCAGACCCCTCTGCCTCAATGCCAGCCCCATCCCCAGCTCCGGTGCCACACCCTCAGGCCCACACAACACGAAAGCCTCCATGCCCACCTTCTCTCTGCCACCCACACATGCACTCCCACAATTCACAACCACTTGCTTGTCCATGGGGGTGTTCTGTCTCACACTCTAAGCTGTAAACACCACCACAGTTGACACACCCTGCCCCTTCACCCTGTCTCCAGCTCAGAGACACCCATGTGACCCTGCACCTGACCATATGTCTTGAGATTGTCATGAAATTCAGTGTTTAAAATAAGAAAGCAGAGAAGAAAGCTCAAGCGCCCTTCAGCCAGGAGACTATGTGTCAAGTGGGCCAGTCTGGGGGCAAGGTGTGTTGAGATGCCTGCCATCAAGTGAAGAGCCCCGGGGTCCGAGCTCCTAGGATAGGCAAGTATGCTTCAGGAAGATTCTTCCTTCTGAATATGTTTTAAAATGTGCTTCCTTTTACCTTTAAGTGACTTCTCTCTGCATTCATCCAGGTTCCATATCATAAGATGATCCTGTGATGCAGAACAGATTAGAGGTGGATTCTCTTTATTTCCAAAAGTCATAGCAGTAATTGACTGAAGGTGTCCTTGCAGGATTAGAAGCTGAAAAAAAAATTTAAACCAAAATAACACAAGATTACATTAACACCTAAAAAACAAAAGAGCAAAACAACATTATTTCAAACCTAAGAAAGTAAATAGATGGGCTTTTCAAATATATTCATTTCATGTTTTCATTTTGAATTCATTCATTAAAATTCCTGCTTATGTACAGTGAATTATTCTCAAGTTAACCATGTCACTGAATACACAGAGGGCAAAGTTGCCCAAACAGCATCAAAGAAATGGTGGCAGGGGGCTGGGGGTTGGTGACCTTGGACTTAGGAAAAACACCTGCCCCTGGTTGACCACCTGGTGAGAAGGGTCCCTGATGCTCCACAGGCAAAGCTGGTTCCCATGCAGGGGGAAGGCACAGTACAGCATGCTGCAGGCCAGCTGCACATGAGACACAGCCTCCGTGGACTCAGCCAGGTACTTCTCTGTAATGATAGTGTCCTCACAGTCACCGATGCAGGACACCTCCTGGGCCATTTTCAACTTTGATCTGAAAACACAAAGCATAGGAAAGATGATGCAGGTCTTATATCTGACACAAACAAGAGTCTTCTGTTCACGATTGTTAGCACGACTACTTGCATCACATCATATCTAAATGACACACCTCCTCCACTCCAAGAAGGAAATCTCTAAAGGAGCTGGAGGCTCCAGATCCATGGCCACCCACTCCCCCAGGGTCTTTCCAATTAGCAGGTCTGTACTGGACCCCACACTTCCCACCTCCTCAGTCTTCTTCCAGGACCAGGAAGTGAGGGCAGCTGCCTCACAGAAGCAGAGACAACAACAGATCCCTTAGCTACTGCATAAAGCCTTCAAAACATCAGTGAGCAGACCAAATACTGCCATTACCTTTCATCTGCACATAGCCAATGAGCCGGAGGTGAACTGCATGCAAACCCAGATGGCTTAGGGCTAACCTGTCATCAACACTAAGTTAGCAAGTGCAATCAGCGAGGCACAGTAAGAGTGAAAGCTAATAAAACAGTGACAACATTAAAAACCGTTTCAGATTTTCTCCTACTCCGTACTCTGTSGCTTCATCAGTGTAACCACCACAGACACATGTGGCATGGCCTGGAGGCCCTGGACTCTGCACTGCCCCTGCTTCCTGACTCGCTCACAGACCTCTGGGTCATCCTGCTGGCCTAGCTACCTGGTGGTCAAGTTGCCCACACAACCAAAGGGTGACAGGGTTCATTCAGTTTGGAGAGACCTGACCAGGGCTCAGGAACAGAGCAGCAGTTACAACAGAGGAGCAGGAAATGGACAGTGGACCAGAAAGGAGGGCACAGGGAAGGACAGGGAGGACCCTGAGGCCAGGGAGGAGCCGGCACCATCAGCAAGCAGGGCACCACAGGGGGGCTCGTCTACCTCAGCGGACCCTGGAGAGCTACCAGAGGTTGCTGAACAAAGAAAGAACACGACAGCTGCCATTAGGAAAACGCCCACGTTGGCCAGCAGCTCCCAGCAGCCCACTCACACTCCAGTGAGACTGTGCCCACCTATGCCCGAGCACTGCCGAGACAGCTGTGAGAACGTCCCCGAGAGGAAGTGCCACGCCGTCCCTGCCTGCTTCAGTCAGGCACACTGACAGGGCTGAGCCTGCAGTCCATGCATGGCCCTGAGACTAGGTCCTGCGTGCGCTGTGGCGAGGTGGCCCCGAGCAGGCCTGCCTTCCTCGTCCATTGTCCCAGGCCCCACCACACTGGCTCTCTGGCTCATCCCTCACCCTGACACGTGCTGCTGCAGCCTCTCCACCTCTCCTTGCCCTCTCCTGCTGAGCTGCCTGGCCCCTCTTGGTGTCTTGTCAGCACCTCAGGACAGCACAAGGAAACCGAGAAGCTACGATCACCTCCCAGAGGAGGTGAAGCTACAGACAGGGAATCCATGTCACCTCCTAAGTGCAGCTGAAGCTCACAGGTTAACCAGGAAACAGCAACACAACAGACCCTGCAGATTATCTCCTGGAAAACATTCAAAACAATTGATAAGCAACTTCAGTAAGAGACTTGGTTAAAAATGTGTGTCTCAGAATTGAGGCCCAGTTATCAGGAAAGCAAGGAATAAAGATGGACATGGAGACACCGACCTTACTCTAACGGATGCTCTGTTATGATAAGTGAAAGGCAAGTTTTAATGACTTGGAAATTCTCAATATTTGAAGAAAAAATAAAAATATGTTGACTATTTTAAAGCACATTTGTCACCAACTCACAATTCTGGTTTCACTTATTCTATATTTGCGGAGATACAGTGAGTATCAAAAAAAATCAGAAACACCCCAAATGTCCAACAGCAATGAAATGTATAAAAAACATTCTGTATTCACACAAGGGGGCGCTCTGCAATAATAACAAGTACACAGGAGTCACCTGGGATGAGGAAAGCCAGAAGTTCAAGCTGCTATGGACAGGAGCCAGCCAAATGACCCAGATGGTGTCTGTCTGGGAGGGAGGCCAGGTTCTGGGACTGGCGGATATGCTCCTGGACCAGAGAGCTGATCCAGCTATTCCCTCTGTGCCCCTCCACCTGATGCAGTGGACCTGAGTCCCAGTGGGCAAAGCGTGCTGCCCTCTGCTGGCTGCAGCCCGGGGGGGGGGGCGGGGGGGGGGGGTTGCAGCATG